CTGACCCTTGGGGTCCATTTTATTTCGGTATACCTTTTCTAGGTACGTTAGCCTGTGACCACGGAAATTGGCCGAGTAAAGTGATGGATTAGTACGGAGAGATTGAGACAGAAAGAGGTACTGGATAGAGAGACCGGGATGGTTTTTAATGTGAAGACAACAACAACAACAACAACAACACACCGGAATATCAAGTCTTTCTGTACTCTGAATAGTGCCGGTGCCCGGTATAGTGCCGCTTTGCTCTCTGAACACATACGGGCACTATAGAGGGCCCCCTACTGTATGTATTTAGTCTAGACTAATCTGGCGACGTGTTCCTCGCGAACACCGTCGCAAGAAATACACAAAAACTGCTTTGTATAAACAGCAAGACTTCTAATGCCTGCGCAACACGCACGTGTCCCACAGACCACGGCGACACGAATACGTTAGAGTGAATGATCAAACGTAGCGGATTACTGCAGTAGGACCAGCAGCAAGGATCACCACCAGCCAAAACGCACACACTCACGCACACGCGAAGAGTCACGGCGAAAAAAAAAATACCCGACACATGATGCAAATTCCAGGCAATTTCTGCAGGCATACCCAAAACCGGAACTACCGAACGTCATGACATTGAGATGCAACGATGCGACTGCGATACATTGGCCATTATGTCCTCTTGCATTGCCCCAGAGAGGCAATCCACCTACCTCCCGAAGGAGAGCCTTGTACTGCTGTAAAACTGACGATGACGTTTTCTCCCAACCAGGACTTGCACAATCAAGGTCCCGAACGACAGGCCCAACTTTGTCCTGACGACTACCCGGACCAGCCTTGCCAAATACTACTGTAGACTACCGGATTCCTCAAGGGTTCCGCACTTTGAGCCGCTGCCCAGCTTACCGTGACATAAAATAATACCCAAACGCCCCTGCACTACAATCTGAACACGACGATGTGCTCTTGATATGCTTCTGCGATGGAAGTGCACCCACTTCAGGACATGTCTACACCACAACTATTAGACTATACTGCTGTACACGCACGAGCATCACCTCTCTGTGGCGTGGAAATTTGCGGTACAAACACACCCCGTGCACCAAGCACTATACGTACCTCTGTCTCTCCTAACAACAAGCGAAACAGTCAGTAAAACAGTGTAAACACAACTTTAAAATACCAGCAAGCATAGACTAGTCTAAATATTTAGACTACTGCATGAAAAACAAAATTGGAGCGACTCGCCGACGGCCCAGCACGATCGCCCGTACCGTATTCTTGCCGGCGATGACCGAAAACATTTCCTTTGCGTATAACTTGTTGCCGCAACAGCGGTGCGGGCAAACGCACAAGAGTGAGTTCGATTCTTGTAGGTAGATCGATCGTTCCAGGGTGCAAAACCCGACCAACGCGTGCAAGAAAAACTATCGACGACAAAAATAAAAGAAAAAACTCCCATATTTTCGGCATTGTCAGGCTCTTGGCTCCAGGAGCAATCGGTCCTTCAAAATCGATCGCACCCCTGTGCGTTCGTTCTCCTGCACTTCTACAGTCCCTCAAATTTAAGCTTCTCCTCCTACGGTAAAGGAGGGTTAACACGACGTGAATAACAAAACTTGTGGGTACTCTACGGTCTCCATGACGCACCCTCACTCCTGCCGTGGTCCTGCGGTCGTCGGTAAATCACCTGACCGGCACACAAAAACAATAGGGTCACGATTACCAAGAGACATTCTTGTCAGCTTTTACGAATAAAACGCAAGTCGGCGCCGAGAACAGAAGCGAGAGGGAACAGCGGGCACGGGTGTGGAAGCGCTTCATGGTTAGGCGATCTGGCCGCTGTTGTTGTTGGCCAGCTCGTCCGAACTCTCCAAAGCGGGACATTGAGGGGCGCCAGGGCTGTACCGCACGGATGAGATGGTTTGCATCTTTAACACCAGAACCCATACACCACCGAACAAGAAAAAAATCAGAGCTTCCTTCACACAAATACCATGATATCCAAGCAACAACATAAAACCCTTGCAAATGCTGAAATGTTGGGTGAGCTCTTGGTACAACGACATCGGAACGTGGTAATCCAACGGTCGAGGAGGTTCTGCCGAAAGATCTTTACTGAATTTGCACTCCCACTCCGATAGTCCCTTTGCCGTACTTCGTAGACACTGTCGGCAACCAGTACTACCTCCATGTCCCCGGCAAGTTTGAGAACGACAAGAGCGAGAATCGTTTCGAGCGCACCATGAGCTCGGAGTCAAGGTGGTGAAAGTCTTCGCTTCGTGACGGAATCTCCACCCTCAGGTCCACCTTTGACGCAACAAGTGCCGCGAATTTCATGGAGTGACGCATAACATGCGAGTGGCGTGTGAAACAAGGAAGGAAGTCCTACAAGCTAGGTACATGTGAACGTGTTGGACACGGTACCACGTTGTTGTCGGACAGACAAGGATGACGGACGATTGAGGCAATAATCAAGTTGGTGTTATTTGTGCTTCTTCGTCTGCGTCATCAGCAACACGTAGTAGGAAAAAGGACATTTTTCGATCGGCTGATGTGGTAGGCTTGGCGCTCCTTCTTATCGGGAGGAGTCTGACTGAACGTGAGGCTATGCCATGCCACTGTAGGTTGGAAGAGGGAAACCTAGAGCGTGAATTTTCGAAGAGGAGACTCTGTTCAACAGGTTGACGAATGTTGTTGCTCGGAGGGTGAGATTGAAGGATGTCGCGGAGCTTTCCTCAATACCAACCATGTGAAAGCCTCTCGATACTTTTTGGTATTGAGAATGTACCAGCATCGCCAGCGTAAAAGGACGCTGGGATTGACCGAAGCACCTAACGTTCTTGGGCGCTAACACAACATACCCTACACAACAGCAGTACTGAATCACCTGTACCACTCGAACTGCTGCCGCACTGTAAACCTCCGGCCACAGCTCCTTCATGCTCGGGAATTGCACCGCCCCATACACGCGCCCGTTTGGCCCCGCCTGGATTCAAGCAAGCATCCGATGTGCCACAGAACATGAAGTACGGGGGTGGGGTGGGGGGTCCTTCGCAGTCAGCGGGCGCACGGACTGCCTGCATTCAACGGGAAAGTTGGCGTGGGTGTGCTCTCATGCCAACGACGTGTTTCCCGTCAATGTATGTATCAATAAATAAGTCTTCCCCCCCCCACCCAAAAATATAACGTACCGGGTTTTGGAGCACTCCTTTGCGCCTACACCTCTCTTGGATGCCTGACATTTTGTGTTGATATTCTCGTCACAAGTACGATGGATAAAGTGTCATTCGATCTTTCTCCGTATCATTTTGCTTCGTCTCTCTTGCGGAAGAGGAAGAGCTCCGATCGGGGGTCATGCCGAAGTGCTATTTCGTTCCGCGGTAAACGCGTCACCATGGTATGTTTTTCTATCGCGCTAAGGGTCCAGCATTTTCTTCTCGGAAGTGAACCGACCTAGAAGCACGTTCCACACAGCTGCATGTCCTACCGGATTTCTGAAGAATGCGTAGTACTTCACAACTTTAGCCACTGCAAGGGTACTGAAGGTTAACAACTATTGCAGTGGTCCCGGTGTGATGCAGGTGCGATCCAGCCGATTTCCCCGGCAATAAAGCGGGCATCCGACACCATTCAGAGTATGAACAAGTTGAACATCCCATCTGTGGCAGACTATTTCACCGACATCATACCGGGCGACCGCCAATATTCCACCGGAATTATACCGGGGCCACTACCGTAGACCGCCCGTCCGACCGGCATGGCTTGGACGAAGCAAGTACTATCGTCGAGAGAAAGACAAATGCCGTCGCGGGAAAAAACTAGCAACTGCTTGGAGCTGTTGCAGCCACCGGAGAACCGTTCCATCGTCCCACCGCCGCAAAAAACGCCTGCTACAAGCAGCTCGCGCCACGAAAGCACGAACCCAAAACAGGCGTTGAAACGCCGGTTTTCTTGCCTGCAGCTCGCCAATCACCCGTTGAGCTATGCGTTCGGCGTTGACCAAGAAGTTCACCCTTGTGGTCAGCGTCCGCAGTGGCTGTCCCGTCTCTTCCAGCCCGGTGAACACAAGGTACTGCTCTCGGTCTTGATCGTGGCCTTCGTCGTCGCTACAAGACATGCAGAACGCCTCGGCAAACGGGGACTCGCTCGGCTTGGTCAGCTGCGCCGTACGGCCCTCGAAGTCCAATTCCTGGATTTGTTGGGTTGGTGTTGTGGTTGTGGTAGTAGTAGTAGTAGTAGTAGTAGTAGTAGTAGTAGTAGTAGTAGTTGTTGTTGTTGTTGTTGTTGTTGTTGCTGCTGCTGTTATTGTTGTCCTTCACATTAATAATCGTTCCGGTCTCCGCTCAGTACCTTCAAATATCCGTACTCGTCCAACTGACTCGGGCGCCTTCCGAGGTCACAAGCGACGTGTTTGACATATTCGGATCGGTTGCAGTTTGTTCTCGAGCGAGTTATTGACCAGTTTCCTTAATCAAGACCTATTCAATGTGCAAAGTCGCCATTGAAAGTGCAGGTGGCACGAAGACGCGGTACTCATCGCTCACAGCTGAGCCGGATTAATCACGAACTCGTGGACACTATTGGGTACAAACAAGGTGAGGGGAGGAGAAATCGGGTCAAAGTGCAATAGCACCTCTGACCGGGGCTCATCGCGACAAAAAATAAACGGCAAATACAGTAGATCCAGTGAAAAAGCACAAGGTCCACTAGGCCAAAAATCGTGTGTTCTGGACCTAGGCTCTCTATGGGCCCAGTTTCGTGTAACACGTGCGTAGTTTTTCGTTTAATATTGTTTTTCCCCAAGGTATTGGCAACACTTGGTAGTTTCACCTTGCTTACTACCACAACCAAAACTTGCTTGGCACCGCCGCGGTTGGAGTGGTACAACCTGCGCCACGTATGCTAGAATGATTTGCGAGAGAGACAACAGCCGTGCAGAAGAATCGAAAAACGATTGATGAGTTCATGGTAAGCCTAAAAGTTGGCTTCAAACGCTTCATGCTTTGCCGCAGAAAAAAGTCCGTCTCGCCCGCTCACCACCCGCAACGGCTCGACAGAAACTCGACCGACGACTCGCTTCGGCTGTTGTGGCGATGCCTCCTTGTCCCGCGTGCTCGTCGCCTTGCGTGTTTCGTCTGTGGCCGGCCCAGCTGCTGCTACTGTTGCTGCTGGACGAGCGCCCCACCCGAAATCGCAAGGTAGCGCCGGGGCCCCGCCGAACCCTCCCCCCTCGCCGGCCTCGTCGCCCCCCGCCAAGCAGCCCCCCGGACTACAAGGGTCGCTTTGCTCCATCACGGGGCCGCTGACACTCGTGCTGCTGGAGGGTAACGGAATTGCGGCGCTACCTTTCAAATCATTATGTATCACGCCGCAGGCAGACCGTCGACATGAAGAGGTAGGCGCCTCCACCTGAAGCGGGGAGAGTTTCGTCGGGCTACGGCCACCCGCCGTGCTGGGGAAGAGCACGGCATGGACGTCGATCGATTGCGCACGTGGGAGGGGGGCGGGTCCTACCGTGAGGGGCGAGAGGCTGAAGGTTTGTCGGTCGACCTCCAACGCCGCCGGTGCGCTGCCGCCGTCGCCATCTTCGTCGCAAAGGTTAATGTTCCACCAAACACCGGTGGCATCTCCAACGGGCTCGTCTCCTGGGGGGGTGTTGCCGCTGAGGCTTGGACAACTGCCCCCCCCCCCTACCTCGCGACTCAAACGCGAGGCTGTGTCTTCGCCGTATGCCCAGCTCGACTGTTCCATCCACCTGATTTCCATGGTGCAGAATATTGGTTTGGCGGGGAGGGGGCGTACTCATGTTTTGCGTGCCTTCCAGTGGTTAGAACACTGCCCACGCATCCTCGAGAGGACGGAGCGTGGGAGCATTAAGAGAAGGGGGAGGATATCTTGATCGGTGCAAGGATCGAACTTGGGAGTTGGGATACCCATCTACCACCAACACGTGTAGGCTCGAAAACCAAACCCGCAGCTGAAAACACGAGAACGTCCACTTTCGAGAACCGCTGAGGGCAGTACGCTGGAAAAATCGTTTGTAGGCGAAATCGGTAAAACGAAGAAATTTTCTTCCGCACATCAATGGCAGGTAGAAAGCATGAAGCCTCGGGACGAGGCCCGTGGCTTCACCATTGCCGCTACTGCTGCGGTAGGGGCAAAGGGTACAACGCTGCTCAAGAACGGGACCAGCCCCCTCCCCTCAAGGTGAATGCCTCCGGAGAGCTTTTCCCAAGCGGCAAAAAAACAACAAAAATAAACGACTGCTTTGGAAGTAACACGCATGCTTCGATGGCATGGGCTTACAAGTTGTCATGCCAACTGCTGCTGCTGGTCCTTGAGTTACTACGTAGCACACATGGTCGCAAAGCATCTACCCTGTTTTGCAAGCTTCGAAATGTGTGTAGGCTCCTCCACACTTTGAGTGCTGTATTTTCATATTGTTGGACTTACTCAACGGTATGTCGTGTAGTCATTCAATGTCCAAGAGAGTCCGCCTCGCCGTTGTCTGAAGGTATACGTATGATGTATGTACAAATGGTTCTGACGATCACCTCCTCTTGGAACCAATCAATCTAAAGCATACCACTCTGATGATCTGAAGCCATGTGAGGGCATGCACTGGCATCCAGTTGCCGTGAATGCCGTATGGTACAATAATTGCACAAGATACCGCACCTCCTGGGCCGGATTTCAAAGCTTGACTACGCTTCACGACGAAGCGGATATCAACATCAAATGGTGGTTTTCAAAAAGCTTTGGACGTTCCAACGCCCCCAATTCGGCACAGCAGGCGGGCTTTTCGCTGCGGAGTAATCGAGCTTTGAAATCGGTGGGGGGTGGTATCTTACGTGACATGTCGTAGGCGCTGGGAATCGCCCGTTCGCTCTCCGACGCATGCACATGTAGACATGGCCTGCGGTGTACACACCACAGATCACGCAACAAAACGTACTACACGGAGAAGGAAGCAGTATTAAGGTGCTGAAGATCGCCTCATAAAATGATGCAGAACGATCGCGTACTTTTGGCTCCTGTGCTGGACAGCTTCGCTTCTTGCGGGCTGCCTCTTTTTCCATTGCCCAAAATGGGACCACGGGAGAGGGACCAGGTTGTGCAAATAAGCAGATCGGATTGAGAACTCTCGATCCACATATACACATCGCTTGGGCTGTCCGTCGTTCCACAACTTGGCGTCTGCGCTATTCGATCCCGCTCCAGCTTTCAGGCAACACCGCTCGACGGGTTCGCATGATTTTGGATATATTCCACCATAGATTAGACAGGTTGTGCTGTGTTGGAAAAAGTTGTGTGTAATTGGCTGGCGCAGCGGTGCAGCAGCAATTCCT